ATCCCCTTTCTAGGTACCTTCTCCACATTGCTTAAAATACCATACTATAGTGATACATGCATACCAGTGTTTACAGCTGCACAATTCATAATAGCTAAATCCTGGAAGTGGACTATGTACCCATCAATAGACAGCTGGATAAAGAAAATGTACCCATATATAATGGAATAAAACAGCTATAACGAAGACAAATTTGAAATATTTGGAGGAAAATGGATATACTGGAAAGTATAATGTTGAATGAAATATATCAGACACACAAGCTTAAATACCGTAACATGGTATCTCTCATTTAAATAAGGCAAAGAACAAACTAAGAGAAAAATAAAGGGAGGATAAAAGGCAACAAGAGGATGTCCAGGGGACTAGGGTGGGCAGGGGTGAGGAAATAGGTACAGCGAAGATATGCCAGGTACAGGATCCTAACAACTTCAATGACTGTGGACATTACATGCCATAAACATGGACTAAGATTAATAATATCAACAAGAATGACAAAGGGGAAAGAGGAATTAGAGGAGGAAGAACCAAGACAGGTTATGTAAAGGTGTAAATTTCCAATGATGACTGTCATCATATTGTATACCTGAAATGTACCAATAAAATTAATTTTTTTAAAAAAGGGGAGGGAAGGGGACCAAAAAATAGAACAACCTGTATTATGTACCAACTCCCCAAAATGACTAAAAAATGCACATACTACAAACATGTACTGATAAATTTTAATGTAAACAGAATTAGCTTACAATCTAGCAGTTCTGCTTATAAATGGACACACACAAGAAGTGAAAGGAGGAACTCAAAAACCTATACACCCATATTTATAACAGCATTATTCACAACAAAGGGTAGAAGCAACCTGAAGATTAACAAAGTGAGTCTGATTTACAAAGAAGTATTACTCAGCCTTAGAAAAGAAGGAAATTCTGACATGATACAACACAGACGAACCTTTGCTAGGTGAAATGAGACACTCACAGAAAAGATAAATACTATATGAGGTATATGAAGTAGTTAAACCCCTAAAAACCAAAAGTAAAATGTTGGCTGACAGGGAGCAGAGGTAGGGAGAAACAGTTATTCTTTAACATGTTTCAGATTTGCAAGCTGAAAAGAGTTCTAGTAAGGGGTGGTGGTGATGGTTGCATAATAATATGCAGTTCTTAATCCTACTGAATGTATATTTAATGATGGTAAAGATAGCAGTTTTATGTTATGTGTATTTTACAATTTTAAAACACAAGATAATGAAGTATATACCACACCAATAAATTAAATGTTTCAATAAACAATCTGAAGTAATAACCCTAACTTATAAACCTAGGCACATTTTTTATTTATTATTAGTAGCAGTATATTATTAGCAGTATATACTAATAGTAGTTTATGTTAGCAGTACATAATGATTACATTCATTGTGAGGAATTAGTATATGTGCATAACATATCTCAATTCTTTTTTTTTCTTCTCCATTCTCTAAAACATTTTTCTGGCCAGCATCAGATTATTTTTTCTTATTCATAAAGCATATTGCCTCTCTATTTTAACATGCACAGAAGGCTATAATATGCATTTTACATATTATTTTACAGTAAAAGTACAGTTAATTTCCAGAATTGATAATACCTAAAAATAACACCTTGGCTAGTGGTGGAGAAACTATGATATGCATGCCACAGTGGGCTATTCATATCACTGAGAGTTCTGAAAGGTTCGCCATCAATTACCTAGATATACAAAGATTACATTCGGTGAAATTAATGTTTCTTTGGGGTTTGTTTGTTTTTTCTGGTATCAGGGATCTAACTTGGGTCCTTGCACTTGCAAGGCAAGCATAGAAGTACTGAGCTAAATCCCCGGCCCCATGATATTAATGTTTTTAAGAATAATTACAAAGGAATGTAGGGCTGGGGATTTAGCTCAGTGGTGCCGCTGCCTGCCCAATACCCAGTACCAAAAACAAACAAATGCATGCACGTGGAATTACAAGATTATAATGCAACAACTTCGTATCAAAAGCTACTGCTTTGTTTCACATTAGTATTTCCTTTTGTTTGGTGTTAATACTTTCTTTTGTTTAGATCATTCCTCAAGATCACATGGCAATGGAAAGAAAGAATCTTGTCTTTTCCAACCATAAATTGCACAACAAATCTTTCATCACAATGTTGTCTGAAAACTGCTGGAGTGGATGCTAAATATAGTCCAGCACAGATTCCAAGGGTCTCCAAAGCCAGCCCATTATTGTTCCCCCTTGACTTGATAGACAAACCCAAGGTACAACTTATTGGCATATTTAAAAATCAGATGTTTAGTCAGGTTTGGTGGCACATACTTGTAATTCCAGCACTCTGGAAGGCTGAGGCAAGAGGATCACAAATTTGAGTCCAGCCTATAAACTCAGAGGCCTTGTCTCAAAATAAAATTTAAGCCAGGGGTTTGGCTCAGTGGTTCCACTGCCTGCCTTGCAAGGGCAAGGGCCTGAGTTGAAACCCCAGTACAAAAAAAAAAAAAAA